ATGTTTTCAAGCTCTTCAATGCAACACAAAGGCTGAAATCAAAGCTCATAATCTTAACCATGGATCTGAGATAAGGGATGTAGTTCAGAAAAAGCTCTGCTCATTGTTGCTGCAGTTAAATTTTTCCATTTAAAACCAAATCCAATATAATTTATTTTTAGTTCCAAAAATAATGCAGTTTTTTTTTTTTTCCCTCGAAGAATTGGATACAATTCTTAAAGAGTGGCAAGCAAAAGAAAATAAATAGCATCTAGCTTGTGTGTTGGTAAAACTAGCAGCTAGTTTCTGTGCCAGCCAAAACACAGCCTGTCTCTCTATAAAGTGCTATTCAGAAACTGTCTTCAGTCAATGTAAAACTCTAAGAAACTCCCAGTGATTATGACAAGCAACAGGGAAAAAAAAAAAAAAAAAGAAAATAGAAACAGCTTTCTCTGAATCCTCCTCCAATTAATAAACATACTTCTCACAGGTGGAGAGCAGAACTGAGAGTACATGTTGAAACACTAACAAGGAATTTCACATGCTTCTCAGGAACAAAATTGTCTCATACTTCCGGAAATAAACTATCCATCCAACTTAATATTTTAAGCATTTAATTATGTTTTCTTACTCTGTTGTAAAGCTGAGTGTACATAGTCATAACAAATATGAAGGAAGCATGAATGCATCCCAGTGGAGCTAAGAGGAGAAACAGAGTGAAAGATGCGTGATTCTGGTATCCACAACAGTTGTTGATCCAAGGACAATGGTGATCCATTTTCATGACACATCTGTGAATAACAAATATCGATTAATATACAGGACATATACGATGTTTTTCAAAAAGCTCAAAAGGACAGCAAACTTTCTACTACTCAACCTCTATTCCTTCATTTAAACATACCAATTTCCAACAGATCAACACAGTCATTTTTTTTGTTGCTACCCAGAATGATATTTCATGTTGTAGAATGAAAGAAAATGAAACAGAAAGTGCACCCAGGTCCTACCTTCCCTAATCATCCCTCCTCCTCTTTACTCAAACTTGCTAGTTGCTAATAAACACCGTATTCCAGAGCCAGAAGACAGAGGCCTAGAACTATTAACACAATAATTAAGCATGGATATTATTGCCATTTTTTTTTTAATAAGCACACCAGGAAAATAAAGGAAATATCAAATCCCCCATGAACTGCTTGCAGAAAGAACATATAGAGATACGTAGACAGAAGTGTATTAATGTGTCTTTCTTTTCAGCAGTAGACCCTCTGAAGGCTTGAATTGCTACATATTGACCTCACACCACTCAAAGTCTTTTTCAAAAAATCTATTTAACAAATGTAAACAGAGACACTCTTTTATTCAATATAAAGCTGGTTATTTTGGTGTAGCTTACAGGTGCAAAAAATACCTGATCAAAGGTTTGTCTACATCCCAAATTGTGATGATTTAACTTAACAAGTGTAAAAGTCACTAGTTATAATGTTGCAATTCATCTGCACCAAACCTAAGTAATAAACAAAGGATTGAATTGCACAAATATCCAGCTCCCCCTGAAATAAACTAATTGTTTTAGAACTACTGACTTCATTATCTTTTAAGCTAGTCCATTTCCAATAGGAAGTTCAGTTTCTCCCCTTTAAAGAATTAGTTATTTTTCATTAGCATATGTTCAACTGCCACTGTGCAAGTTCTTGAACATGTAATCATAAGCACAAGTGTTTCTGAAAAAGTTCCTATATCTTAGCAAGAAACCTCACCCTGTTCAGGTGGGCCACATGAAGTGACTCCATGCATGCACTGAAACTTGCCATAGCACAGAAGACTTTCAGTGATGGTTTAAGTTACCTACTTCACTGAAACAGGCAAGGAGTATGTGCAGAATGAGTCACTTTGGCCCAAGTTGAGGAGGCAGAAAATTCTTAGAGCGTATCAGCAAAATGTTTTGGAGAATGTGCTGCAGTTTCTTCTGGCTTATTTGACAAAAGACAAATTATTTAAAGAACTTGCTCCTGCAAAGACAATCATCAGGATCTGCTGCCATTTTCCTACTAAGTCCTCAGTGTAAAGATTGTCACTCAAGGAAAAGAGTCTAATTTTAAATCTTAGGATGATGTAGCCAAATTACAGCACTGCTCTACAGTTTCAGTCTCTACTTCCGAAAAGCACACTGATTGCATATCTTGTGTTTATAAAAATAACAAATGAATGCGTATGTTGCAACATCCTTTTAACATGTTCTCTAATAGTCCTTCAGAGGAGGACCTGCCCAGTAAAGCCAAAATAAATGCAAGTACAGTCTGCACTGCAGACAGCTGAAGTGGCTTGCTTTTTCCAAGCTGCACTAAATTCCACTGCAGTTATTTGTAATAAAAGCATCCTTTACCTCAGAACACGTCTGTTGAAAGACTAACACATTGCAAGGCACAAACTTTTTAAGTTGACCCAAAAGGCTTATCAGTTCACTTAACATGCAGACTCGCCTCAAAAAATCCCCTTTAGTGAAGAGTAAAGGATAGTCCAAAATTTCCACTCAAATTAACATTTAACTCCCATTTGGAAAGATGACAGAATAGGCTTTTCTGCTCCCTGAGTAGGTGAATGTTTGGACTCAGAACTTACAAAGGACTGAAAGACTTTTAGGTATTTACAGAGGCTCACTTCCCTGAAACAGTACTGCCATGTTTTGTTAACAGTGTCAGGGAGTTCTTAAGAGGAACTGATTTCAAGCTAAAAGGAAAATTTTAAAGACAGTTTATTTATTAAACTAAAACAAAGTAAAACCATGTAGGAATCATACAACTAGACAGTGTAAATATTTGAAACTGGTATAGTGCTCATATGGAAATCTTTTAAATATGCACAAGACTTGGAAGAACAAATTATAATAATAGCTTGTCATTAGATTTGAAGCTGCTTTAATATGGACTTAAAACAATTTTCAAGAAAGACAGTTACCTGTTACACTTTCGACAGTGGTGTGAACGCGGTGCCTTATAAGACTGACACACTTTACAGTATTGGAGATACATGCAATCCTGAGATTTTTCCTTTAAACAGAAGAATAGGCGTGTTAGACATATACATAATTCTGCTGGCAACGAGTATGTTGGCATTTTCCTAACCTAAGCATCTTTGCTTTCTTCTGAGAGGGTGTGTTTCATAACCTAACCCAATTTAATAGTAGGTGGCTAGGGAAAAAAAAAAAAAAAAAAAAAGAAATAATCTCTTGGCTATCAACACAGCCATCTCCCACTGTTGAAAGTGGAGGTTGCTGAAAGAAATAAACACTTCTTCCATCAGAAATAGCAACTGTACAAGTAGTGTGTCATAGTGAAGTTCTGAGAGTGAAAAAAATGAACGAGGCCTTTATAATTAAAAAAAAAAAAAAATCTCGTGCACTTTGTCTCTCCATTTTATACCATGAGCCACTCTAGGCTTACTACTAAGATACTGTACTGGTAAGCATTAACGTTCAACTAGCTCTTGTTTGCCACCCTTTCTCTCTCTGACACACACACCCCCCAACCCAAGATGAAAGACAAAGAGACTTGTAAATAGCAAGTAGTAACACTGGCCAAAATCTGTTTACGAAGTGGAATACCCAGTTGTCCTGCTGGGACTACATCAGGATTCTCTGCTCACTAGACTCTGTCCTGAAAAATATTCCACGAGTAGAAATGTGATTATTACTAATGTTTGTATCATGGCACTGGAACACAAACTTTGGCCAGCTGCCTTGAGATACTGAACTTGTATCACTCTGGTCCTTGAGTACTACTCTTCCAAGAGATTACTGAAGCAAATGAAATGCAGGCTTCTACCTTGACTTATAATACTGTATTGAACAAAAGTTAATTATGGCTCACATGAACAAAAAAAAAAAAAGCCAAATGAAGTTCTTGTTATTACTAGCAGTAAAGCCTTCAATACTTTATTTGTAAAGCGTCTGCACAGGCGTGCGGATAACCTTGAAGTTCTCGTTCCCGGCTAAGAGCGCTTGTTTCCTGTTGTTTGGCTTTGCGCAGCCCCGACGGAAGATAACGCCTGCTGCCGGGAAAGCGGCACTACCGTCCAGCCCCGGACCGCTGCGGCCCACGGAACAAGGCAGGGATGGAGTAAGCCGGAGCACACTGGCAACGCGGGGAGGGGGAGAGAGGCGGAAAGCGAAGGCGTCCAAACGAGATAAGGAGAAAGGAGCGGCCCGAGGGGCCGGCGGCGTTCTTCGGGGAGAAAGGGCAAAGGAGGCACCAAGGGAGAGGCGGCTGGTCGCTGCAGGCCCGCCGCCCAGCCCGCCGCTGTGTGTCCGTGCGTGTCCACACACCCCGCCCGCTCCCGCCCCGGGCCCGGGAGGAAGCGATCGAAAGCCAACGCTTACCGGCGTCCACCCCAGAGGGACGTACCCCGGGCCGACAAACATGGCGCTAAAGTAGTTGTAGAGGATCATGACGGTCCAGTTGAGGAGCATGACGAAGTTGACGCTTCCCCCGGCCGTGTCCAGCGGCCAGTACCACAGCGCGGCGTCCGCCATGGCGGTGGCGGAGCACACGGCCACCACGGCCAGGGCCACCAGCGGCCCCCAGTGGCACAGCCGCCGCGCCCGGCGCAGCCCGCCCATGGCCGCTGCTACCGCCGCCCGCCCGCCGCCGCCGCCGCCGCCGCTCCGCCGCCGCCCCGCATGGCTCCCGCCGCGCTCAACCCAACGCCCGGGGCTGCCGAGGCCGGGCCGCGCCGAGAAGGGGAAGGGGGAGGCGGCGGGGAGGGGAGCGGAGCCCGCCCCCGGCAGTCCGCACGCAATAGGGTCCCGCCGGGAAACAGGGTCCCGCCGGGAGCGCCGCCGCCGCTCCACCGAAGGAGCGGGGCGACAAAGGCCGCGGGGCGCGCAGGGGCCGCCGCCTCCTCTGTGGCGGGGCTGCCGTTCGAGCGCTCCGGGGGGCGGGGGAGGGCAGCAGCGGGGAGCCGGGCTGGTTACAGCGCCTGAGCAGCGGGGAAGGGGGCGGAGAGTTTCGCCGGAACCGGCGGCGAGGCGGGGGACGGACGCCTTTGCGCGCAGCAGAACGCGGAAGCGGCGCGGCTGAGCGCGGTGTCTCCGCGGAGCGCAGCGGGGGCCGCGGCCTCCCCCCCCCCCGCCCCCGGCGCCGCCATGTCCTCCGATTTCGAGAGCTACGAGCAGGACTTCGCGGTGCTGACGGCCGACATCACGGGCAAGATCGGGAAGGTGCCGAAGCTGTTAGGAGGTGAGCGGCGGGCGGCGGCCGGGTGGGGGTAGGTGTGGGGGGGGGGGGGGAGCGGCTCGCCCGGCGGGCTGCGCTCCCCCCCGCGCTGCTTCTCCGCCTTCACGGCTCTCGCTGCGCTCCGCAGGCCCGTCCCGCTCCTTTGCCAGAGCCTCCCCGGCTCCCGGAGCCCCCGGCTTCGCAGCGGCGAGCGCTTGGGGCGGTGGCGGGAGGTGCTGGTGTGTTTTGAGCATGGCCTGTCTCCGTGTCCCGCCACCCGAATGTGCGTTCTCGCCCCTCCTCACACAGCAGAGTCAGGATCCATCTCCCTGCCCCGGCTGCACATCTGTTCGAGCAGCGAGCTCTCTCATGAAATGCGTTAGGAACCCCCTCCCAGAACGCTGTTCGCTGGTCAGCTGTAAGGATCAGCCCTTCCCTTCTGACTTGCCGTGGGGCCACGCAAAGTTCTGCCAGCGCCGCTGGAGGGCTGGGGCAGAGCAGGGCTCAGCGCTGGCGGGGTGTCTCCTGTACCAGCATTGCTGCTGAACGCTTGTTATTGTGGTCGTGCCACAGCATCGATAATGGAAATCAAGTCTTTTTCATGTGGCATAGACAGAATTTGTGCGTGATTTAATCCGAATCCGTGTTTTTGCTGCTTACTGTTAAAACATTTGATTTCAGAAATTGACTGCGGTGACTCGCATGTAGGAGTAGATTCAAAGAAATCAGTGTTTGTTTAGTTTAATGTGGTTGTCAGTAGCCTGTAACATTCATGGCCTGATTCATGACGTATCCCTGCAATAGAGACAATAACGTCTAGAGGAGTGTTAGGTTAGAAAGCTGAAACTGGTAGTCTCCTTAACTAGTCTGGCTGAATCTTCTAGCACATAGGAATCGGTGCCCTACTATAGGACTCCTAGCATGAGACAGAGAGAAGCTGAAACTAGTGGATTTCTCATCTGTCCCTCTTGTAACTCAGCTCAATGCCTCTTCTGTTTCAGTTCATGAAATATTTCTGCCTCTGCTTCCTATGCACATTTGCCAAAGCTTTATCATACTTACACCACAGGAGTGGATATCATATAAGGAGGGAATAAACCCATACTAGTGGTATACTTTTCCACGTGACTAAAAGAAAAAATACCATGCATCCAGAACCAAAGAATATCATCCTACTTTTAGGTTGGGAAATGCATCATGAAGTGATGAAGTAGTGACTCTAAATAGGCTTTGAGGTAGGTGGTCAACTGAAGCATATGATCTCAGTGCAACATTAATTCAGAGGTCCAAACAACATCTAAAATGAATAAATGGGGATTTTGAGTAAAAATCTGTCTGATTCTGGAAGGTTATGTCCAATTCTAATTTTAGGAAGTTAAAAAGTCTTCTGATAAATTGGGGTTCAGTGACCAATCATAGGCATGATTAAAGGACAGGAAACGATGCTTTTTCATCATCTTAACAGCTATTTTGCTGTTGACCTTAAGAAAAAGGACAGGGGAGGATGATTGAGTCACAGTCTGCAGGTACTTATGAGGTAGAAAGCTTTTGCTCTTTTGTAATGGAGACTTACAAGATGAAGAAGGGAGAGATCCAGAGTTCCTGTGATTGAAATTTAGAACTGGTGTAATTTAGTCTCCTCAGAAATGGTATTTAACCTGTAAACGGCCACTGGAACAATTTACTGAAAGGATGCAGAGGATTCCTCACTAACGTAAAGTACTTAATCAAGGCACTATTTTTCTCTGCTTCACAAAGGGTTGTTCACTTTTAAACAGAGTAAATTTAAGGACCTCTTGTAGGAACAGGGAGACATCATAAATATACTTCTGGCTCCTTTTCTGAAAATCAGTAATGATACACTGATTTATGGAAAAGGAATAGAGATTTAATTTCCTAATGGTATAGATTTTGGAAGTCATCAGTGTCTGTTCAATAGTAGGAAGATTATTCTGCTTAGTGGATTTCCATATTCCTTCCCTTGAATCAGTCTCCATTATTCACTTAGGGAGACTTTGGAGCTTAAATACAAGATGTTTAAAGAGTATTGTCTTAAACAGTGACATAGCCTCAAAGCAGCAGGCTTTGAAATAATGATTCTTTTATGTGACCTTTAGAAGGGTTTTTTTAAGATTTTGCCATTCTTTCAAAGGAGAAAGAATGGGACTAGTAGCGTGGTACTGGGCTAAATGGCCTCATGATAAGACAATGGTTAACTTTTTAATGTTTTTTTTTTTTTTAAGAGGTGGCTTTTCCATGTTAGGATTTGAGGCTGGCCGTACATAGTTTGGACTGATTTGCACTATAGCTACTTCTTGCACTGTACAATTATGAGTGAGTGCATTGCTTCAGTTTTCACTGCTATTCTGTTTTTCATCAGCAAAAAAATAATGTATGATTTAAAAAAATATTGCAGTCTTAGCTAATAGAGGCATTTGACCACCTGGAAAAAAACATAATCTCTGACTATGCTGAACATTGTAATCAGAAATATTTTAAATACACATTTTTCCCTTGTTTCTTAATAGGAATATTTGCAAGATCTTTCCTTCTTCATCACCAGAAGTTCCAGTTAGTTCTTGTGGAGATGGCTGGGAGAGCCTCAAAAAGAGGATTATGAGGTGGGAGGGGGACGTGAGGAGAGATGCACATGAGGTGGCAGTTTTCAGCAGCAGAGGTTTGAGAGAGATTGCTGATGGCCTTCTTCCTCCACGCTGGAAGAAGCAGGATGAAAGGTGTAAGGACTTGTGCTACTTCTGCATAATACAGAGAGATCTCCTGAAGTCTAGTGACTGGTTTATTTCCTTCTGCTGCCCAGGATCGACTTGCTGTGAGCTTCGTGTTCACTTGACTTGGAGAAATACTGGTTAATTGTTTTTGCAACATGCCTGCATTCAGTGTTGTCAGGACTTGATGCTGTCTTCTGTTCTAGGAGGATGATGGCTCAACAAACAATCTTATTGTCACAAATGCATAAATAGTTCAGCAAGAAATGTAACAAAGGCACTGTGATGCTACTGAAGCAATAAGCAGCAGGGACAATAGAACGTCTTGGGAAGAAATGTCTTCTGTTGAGGCAAACATCATCTGGAGAATTAAAGTGTTCTAAATAGAGAAATGGCTTTTAAATAGATTTTCTGTGATGCCGCTGATTCTTTGAAGAATGAAGATCATTGGCTGATGTGTTTTGTTAATGTTCCTTGGTGTTTCAGAGAAACATCTGTCTTGTGATTTGACCAAAAATGTATATAAATTCTGATTGCTTGATCTGAAAGACAGTTTTATCAGTACAAATGGTGATACTTAGTCTTTTCCCAGCACAGTAGCCTGTGGGTTGTGGTGGTTTTAGGCTTGAGTGCTGTCATTCTTCTGATACTTGCTACCTGCATTTTCTACTGGGCAATCAAAGCACTGTATTTCAGTCTCCAACAGATTTAGCTGAAGGAAGTTCCACCTTTAATTTTCTGTTGCACCCCTGTACTGGTGTTTACTGCCTCCGTTTCAGGTTGCGCTTCTTGAACCCAGTTTTATAACCCAAAGAGAGAAATGCAAATATTGTTCCATTTGTCTCTGCTGTTGGACAGTAACTTCTGGCAGTAGTGAACATGTAAACCACCTCAGCCAGTGTAGCAAAATTGCACGTGAGCTATGAACTGAAGCCCTTTGTTACTCAGTCTCTTCCTCAGCATGTGCTAATAGAAAGAAGCAGTTCCACAAGCAATGAGACGACTCAGTCTTGGTCCAGATTTTTTTAATCTCGTCATTCATTGTGAGATCAAACTAGTGCTGTGTTATCTTTCTACATTTGTAGGCAGATTTCTGCCTTTCTATAACTGCTGTAATTTGGGGGACAAAAGAGTGACTAATGCAAGGGCAAGGCTGAAAGAACTGAGGAGAATGTAGTAAAAGCTTGTTTCTTTTAAGAAAGTGATACAGCCTTCTGTACAAACACAGAACAGGTTTCTTTGTTTACAGTCCTTACCTGAAGGAAAAAAACACTTTTGTTTCCAGTTTTTATATTTATCCATATTTTGTTGATTTGTCCAATTAAATTATACAAGCTACACGCAATATTTCTGTTATGACATTCTATCTGTCAATGTGGAGACAAAAATTGTATTCTAAATTTAGATACATTTGATGAAGCATTGCTTTTTATTTTCTTTAAAGGATAAATTAAGAAAAAAAGTTATAAATTAAGATAAATAAAAAGTTATAAAATACCCTTTTCATTATTTCATATGATGGAAGTGTATTTAAGGAAATGATCAAGTAAGCAGACTGAAAACTACTAAGTAATACAGTTAGTAATGTGAGGTTCTTTAATTGGATCATAACTTGTTTGTCCTGATCTACTAGATTAGTGGCAAGCTTCTCTTACTTTGAGTAACTTCCTCTGACCTCATCTACAGTCTCCAAGCAAGTCAGACTGGGGATATTGTGCCTTCCTTTCTATGGGGATTCTGACTGTGAAATAAGTTATTTATTTAGCTTAACTGTGGCAATGAAACTCGAAGTAAATGGTTTGAAAACCATTCCAGCGAGTGTTTTTTTATTGTCAGTGTTGTAGCATTTTGTGTTTCTGTTGCTGATATCAACAACAGGCCTAGAGGTATTGGCAGTCCTGTGGGCAAGTGGCTTCAGGCAGCATATTCCCACCAGGATTTTGCATGGATGCAGCTAGAGGAAGAGAAGAAAATGAAACCAAGCGGGTGATACTTATACTTTGGTCAGCTTGTTTTTCCTTACCAAAGTGACCCTGATGGATCCTGCCACCCCTTCTTGCTCTGAGGACTACGTGGTATTGTGTACCTTAGAAGATCAGCAGTTGCAACAAGTTCGGCTGCTTTCCTGGAAATCCACGAAGATACTGCTCCAAAGCTGCAGTGCCGCAGTGTTGCCATGTGCCTGCTCACACATCTGTGTTTGAAGGAACAGCAAAGGCCTGTTGTCAGTAGGCCTCACTCCCAGCAGTTGCTCTGGTCATCAGCTGGGTGATTATATATCTGGGATGATATTGAAATGCAACTCTGGAGTTGGGTTAAAGTTTAATTATCTAAACCACTGAAGATCATTTGAATACCTCCCCAATTTTATGGGAGCAGTTTCATTCAGCCAGACCTCCTTGTGTGCTAATGAGTTTCCCTACCAAAGGTCCTTAGTTTAATGCCTCTGTGGATAGGTAAGATCTTACTGGTCAGTGGAGTGCTAGTTAATTCTTGTAGTCACGAGTACACACAGAATTCGTACAGCATGAAATATCCAAGCCCCTATATATATCCCTAAATTTCAGGTTACTTAATCTGTATGGAAATTGTAGTCCAGTAAAACTCAGGGAAATACTAAAATTGCTATAGTACATATATTTTTTGCTGCTATATTTTTAAATTTTATTTTGGCTTTAATAAAACGGTATTGTGTGTTTTCTATCTTACATTGTTTTTCATTTTGTCTGTCGTCATCATGCCTGCTTCCAAATGAAGGGAAGAACAGAGGTGTTTTGAGGTCCTGGGTAGGAGAATCAAAATGTGCAGGAAAACAAGTGGCAGAGTCTCTTTTTGTTTGGGTTTAGTTATGTTAGGAAGATAAATCACTAACCATTACATTTTCTGGTTTGGGTGCCATCATGAGAACCTGGTGGTGGAATTAAAGAAAGACATTGCTAGCAGAGAACTAAAAGTGCTGCACAGAAATGAGCATTTCCTACATCTTCTGCTGTTGTAGAATCCAACAGATGTGACAGTGTGAATTCCAGATTTGCAAGAAAGATGCTGTTTTTTCCATGGCTTTAGGTTTGTACAGAGAATTACTTGATGAAATTCTGGGTCTCATCCAAGGTTAAGAAGGGAAACTCTGTTTGGGAGGACTTAGGTGTGAGCCCTAACTTAATTTGTGGGGGAATTCAAGTGCCTCCTCCCTTGTGTCACTGGCAGGGCTTCCTTTACTCAGTGGGCTTCAGTGTTAGTCAAGATTTTATTCTAGCTATGTTTTGCCAGACACAGTGTTGTTCAGTTCTTACTGCTGCCATGCAGAAACAGCTTGATTTTTTCATATAGGGTATAGTAGAGTCAGAGCCTGAGGCAGTATCAACTTTAGGTCAAGGTCACTAGCCCTGGGCCACTTGCTTATCCAGTCCAATCTCAGAGGGAGTCTTTGCTGCCTCTCCAGTTGGCTATAACACATGCTTGAGAACTTGGGCTTCTGGAAGAAGAATTTTCCCTTAGGGAAAGACCTCAGACTTTGGTCTTATTTTTGGACTGTAAATGAATTACCCACATGTTCTACAATACTGTGGCAGCTTCTTGGATGATAACCCAGTGCATATGATTTGTTCTTGTGAATCTGCCTTGCATGGGATGATGTATCCTCAGAAGACAGCTGTTTATTTTCAAAGATCCTGTGTTACCTTAAGGGTAGAAAGATAATACTGAACCTGAGCCTTTCTGCAGCCAGAGTTCCAGTGTATGTAACTGAAGGACAGATCATGATGTTCAAGTGTCCTTAAATGAGAGTGTAGAGTATCTTAGGTAAATGAGGAGATAGTTGGATAGGCCCATACAAATGTAATGCAGGATACTGTGGAACAGCAATGGGGGGACTCAGCTGAAACACAAAGTGCTTAAGTGGGGTATGCTTCACCAAAAACTCTGTAGCAATATAGTCCATTTGGAAGTAGTTCAATTGCTTTTAAGGAAGGTTGTTTTAAGGGCTTGTTTTACTTCATGTAGCAGAAATTCTATTTTGGTTGCTATCTCAGCATCCCCTGATGAGGGATGCCTATGGCACTAAGTTTTTTTAAAAATAAAGCATTTCAGCCTGTGAGAAGCTAAATTATATATATTTAATAAATTATAGACATTAAATCAAGGTGGTATCTCTTCAAATTCAAGAAGTTTGTGGCATGCAGAGGATCAAATGAGATCATCAGATAGTTCCTTTTGGTCTTTAATATGTCAATTCTAGGGTACAAAGAGATCATGTGGAAGAGAAGCCAAAGAATTCAGGCTAAAAAAAGAAAACTGAAGTGTAAAGGTAGACAATAAAGTCCCTTGTGCCAACATAGACTCATGATCTCTGAGGAGCAATGACTGGAGATACTTTTGTATAATTCACTATTTATCTGCTTCATCAGGCAAACCACCAGCAAAGATGTCTCATGATGCTCTTGGTTTCAAACAAACAGTGGTATAAAAGATTGTATGTTCAGAGTTTTGTTGTTTACTTCATTGACACAATGGGTGGATCTACAGTCTGAAGGATGGAAGATGTGGCCATGAGAGGGGAACAAGGTGATGCAAAAGGCATTGCAAATGGTAGTATTGAAGCTCCTGAATGCCCACAGTGATTAAGCAATGTGGGGACTTTTTATTATCCAGTGACTAGATATTACTCAGAAAGTCCCCTTTCATGCTGTAACAAACCAAGTGGTCAAGGAACTGGAATATTTGGCAGGTGTGACACTGAATCTCAGTTCTCGGTTCATATTGGATTCTCTGACTGAGAATGTATGGTTAGCAGCAGGTCGAAAGTCAGACATTCTCTCTGTTGCTGGGATATAGACTTTTTGGGGAACCTGGCAGATGATGATTGCTACATATAGCTTATAACTGATTTTAATTTTTTTAAATTTTCATCTTTTATTACTAATTTTCACTTTTACTGCTACTAGAAGACAGTGATTTTCGTGCAGTTCACATGGCATTTCATTTTGGTTTTGTTGAAGCAGAAGAAACTATTCTAGACCCAGCATAGGAGTAGGGGAATAGAAATCTCATCGTTCTTCGATATCTGGCTTCATTATAAGTGGGATGCTTGTTTTTGTGCATCTCATATTTTGCAAAGAAATAAGACTTTGTGTTTAAACCATATTTTTTTTCCCGTTTGGTGTAAGTATGTGCCTTCTTACGCAAGCATCTGCTGAGGCATACCTCCTACACCTGCAGCAGCTGTAACTGCTTTCCTAACTAGCAAATGCTGCATAACAAAGCAGACGACTTCCAGCATTCTCCAGTCTCTCTTTATTACTTTTTTTTTTTTTTTTTAACTAAGGTAGGTATCACAGTGTGTGATGATGTCACACAGAATAAATCCCTTGAGTCAGTTTTAACTGATATATGTAAGCTTTTGAAATGGTGTATTTTTCTTTAATGGTAAGAGCACAATTATATTGGTATTTTCACAATTTTATTTCAGATGAGAAGAAGCAGATGGTTGCAAATGTTGAGAAACAGCTCGAAGAAGCAAGGGAACTGGTACGTTTTGGCTTTTCATATGTTAACTGCAAATTCCTAGGGAAAATAATAGGATCTTTAGTGGTAACATTTAACACACATGATGTCCAAAAAATACTTAACAATAACATATTAGAAAATGAAATAATATTTTTGAAATAGTTCTTATTTGAGGATAAGGAATACCCAAGAGGAGTGTATCCATTTTAATCTTGTGTTAAGTGATTTAAAGTTTGCATTATTGCTGTAAGCTATTACAGGCTGCTACAGGCTTTGAGTTGTAGATTAGGTCTTTTACTTTAGGAGCTGAATTAAATATTTACACACCTGTACTGGTGTTTTGTTTTGTGTTGTTTTTTCTTGTAAGACCCATGCATCTATTTGATTTAATCAGTCTGATTGCCTTATAGAGCAGTAGATCTTTTTTTCTCTTTTAGCAAGTGAGGCATCAATATATTTAGTTGCTTGAGGTCAAGGGTGCAATGGTAGCATGGATTACTGATCTGAGAAGAATATATATGTTAACCAAGCATTAGTTAGTGGTCCACAGTGACAGAAGAAAGCAATATGTGTTAAGCAACTGTGACTTTTTTTTTTTTAATTTTGTTCCTGTTACAGCCTGTCATGTCCTCCCTCTGGATGGAGTATAAAAGTAAAGTTTTGTAGATATGGAGTAACTGAACAAAGATGCTGGTGACAGCTGAGATTGACTTTTTCCCTCACGGACAATAGTTCCTTGCCTGAAGTTGCTTTTGCTTATTGCTTGCAAATGAGTGTGGTCTATCTAGTGTCAGAAATGTAATCTGATTGTTAGGATAGGGAAAGGAAATTAGTTCTCCTAGCCTGAAAGTTCTTATAATTGAGCAACTTGGGTCAATGATTTGGTTACTAACTAAGCAGTAATATTGAAATTAATTTCTTTTTTTTTAAGCAGCATAGGAAGAGAAAGGTCTCTAGAGTGTTTGTTGACATACCTGGTGCTTTTAGTCTAAGAATTGGATTAATCTTATAGTCCAGATCATGGAAGTAGCATCCAGGAAAGCTGCTTCTTGGCGTGACTCCCTTCAGGTTTACCCTGTGAGGATGGCAAGGTGCCTAACCTCTCTAATTTAGTATTCTCAGTGAGAAACATGGTAAAATTACTGTCATGAGGGTGTTCTGAAGATATATTAAAGCCTTTTAGGCACTTTCATATTCAGACAGCTGAAAGAAAGTAAAAATCTAGAAAGGTTTTTCCTCTACTTTTCACTACAACTTGACATGCCAAAAAAGCATAGCAGTACAGGGAAATTGTGGCATGGGTGGTCTCATGAAAAATCATTAGAATTTGGTTTCCTACTTGAAGTGAGATTGGAAGGAGCAGAAATTGAGTCAATGGCTCATTACTTCTCTCCTTATGTCAGAAAAAAATCATCTAAATTAGTATATATTATAAGATTAAAAAGTAAAACCTGTATCTGTATGTTTATCCTAATGATGAACTTCATTTAATGTACTGGCTTTTCTTTCACGCTTTTGTTTTAGATCTTGTTGTTAATGCTTCTAGACAGGTGCTTAATTCAATTATTGGCTTAAAGCAATTACCTAACATGTTTGTGATTAATGTCAAGGCTTGGATTTAAAAATCAATTTGAACAAACCTGCTAATAACAGAACTGATTAAAAGGATCCTCTTTTAAACTAAAGGCTATAGTAGAAAATAAAAATAAACCAAATTCCTTACTACTGGTAGTTTTCATACATTGGTTTGCGTCATTGTCTTGAGTAGTCAAAGCTGGGTTTAGCTGATTTTGATTTTATTTCCTACTTAGCTAGGAAATAGCACTCTCATGTATTATAAATATTATTATAGAGATAATTTATTTACATTGACTAACCATTGCTTGTTTTAAAACGCTGTCTGCTTTGTTTGGGTAAAATCATTGGTGTAATTGATTTGATCTGTGTGCAGAACTGACACCAAAACTTGCCGATTCCCACAGTCCTTTTTCAAGGCAAAGCTGGTTGAGTAAGAGATCGCTGGAGAGAGATCCAGTAATTCTACATCCCGTGTGGACTATCTGAATGTTATTTTTACCAGGTTTTTAAGCAAAGTGAATGTTGTGATAACCCTAGAGAAATTCTTTGAGTATAAAATCTAACATTGTGCTAGAAGAGCTAGAATTAGCATTTTTGAGTGAAATTCTACTTTTAAGAAGAAAAAACTGTCAGTGTGTTATTTGCCTTTATGTTTTATGAGGGACACATTACAAAATTGTTGTGCTGCAAATGCTAGGTTATTCTTATCTAGACACTTGGCTTTTTAATAATGCACATAAATTTAGTGTTGCAAATGCTAGGCTATTCTTATTTAGACATTTGTGGGTTTTAGTGTAGATCTCTATCTTAGTTCCAGGACTTTAGAGTCAGAATAAAGTAGTGAAGCTTACAACTTTGATAAAATGCTAGCAACTGTCCAGAGCATGTTCATGTGGAGAAGTTCCTGTGGGTGGGGGAGATTTATTTTGGGATCTCAATGGACATTAGCAGCACTACCTTACTTTATTTTATTTTTGAATGGAAATACCAGTGGTTGTTCTGCTTTATGCTGTATTCGGTGATGGGAGTGTAGTGGATATTGTTAGGAGCCAACCTACTAGGTTAAAACCCTGAGAAGCCTTAAGGATGGGGACTGGTTTATGAATTTGGGCAAGAGTTCGGTGCCAGAGTGCTCAGCTTCACCACAGTGGTTGCAAGTTTGAACATAAGCAATAACAGAAGTTTGAGCTTGAAGGTTTTCTGAAGAAAACTTGATCTTCTACAGATGTTTTGAGATTTAAGTGCAAGGTTATTTTAAAGTTGAATATAGTTCTGTTCTTGTGTGTGAAAAATATGATTTTATGACCATTGAGGCCTGAAAATGAAGATGCATGAAATTAGGTTGCATTCAGGTTCACACTTGCTTGGACCACTATCTTCTGCATTGACTTCTCATGGAAATTTATCAGCCCAGCCACAAAGTGTACCCGCTTAATCTCATGATGAAACAAAAATAGGCATTAAACACTGGTCAGCCTAAATATGCATACATCATTTTTCCTTGGACCCTACGCTTCTTAGAATGAACGTTTTGGATTTTATGGACTGTGGTCTGATCCTTGCTGCAAATTCTGTATTCACTGGGAGATGTTTTCATTTTTATATAATAGATAAGAATTGAGACTTCATTAAAATATCCTGACTTTGCACATACAATTATATAAATATGAAGAATGCTTTCTATGTTTATAGAACATTTGAGATTAAATATATTGAGATGAAATTGATAAGAAGCCATTAATTCCAGCTATTGGTTTAATTTATAAAACCCAGTTGGAAAGTTAAGCTTGAGCCAAAGACCTGGTAGAATTAGAAATTGCTTTGTACTTTTCAATTCATTACTGATTGTTTAATTAAAATCTTCTTTACGGTTTATTATTGAATTTAATTTTGTATAATCAGAATAAATCAGGTGGAATGACTTTTCAGTATCTGGTAATTCTACTGATTAAGTTCAGATGCTTTTCTTATGATATGAGGATGAAATTTCAAAGTGTAAGCAAGTGATTACATAGGAGTAAACTGTAGCTGTCCCTTGTGAAGACCTGTAACCAGTAACTTGGGATCCTAATTGAAAAACATTTCTGTTCCAATGCTATATTGCTCAACTGAGATCAGTAGGAGGTAAGTAAATATTGTTTCAGGTGCCTACAGCAACCAAGGAGAGGTAGTCTTTTATCTAAGTAAGTTGGAAAGATTTTAAAAGGCAGGTAAGAGATTCTTGAGATGTGCAAAATAGAATTCCCAAACAGGCAGCACCATGTAGAGGAGGCTCCCTGACCCAGTGGGCAGGTAATTAGCAGGTAGCTCAGCCCTAATTTATAGCTTCTTTTGATTTTCTGTACCTCTGTGCCATATTCTTGTGTTTTAGGCCCGTTAGTATCCTACATGCAAGAATAATTAAAAGAAGCTTTTGAAAGTTATATTCTGTCTCTGACGTTTTAATGCATACGACTATATACAAGTTCTTGGATAGTATTGTCATTAAACCCTGAAATTCAGATATTTAATATACCTACATGCAGATCTGGAATGTAGATTTAGGCAACCAGGTGAGCCTTGTAATACTGCTGAGTAAGCATTATTTAAAAGAACAAGAATTATTTTATTAAACATAGAGGCTGGTGGCAAATAAAATTTTAAACGTGTATATATATATACACACATATGCATGTATATATGTACACTCGTGTGTGTGTGCATATAAAATAAATAAAATGCCTTTTTCAGCCAAGGGTTTCCAAAACCACATAGCTAGATGGAGATAGGTTTTCTTCTGAACTAAGCTCATTTGCAGAAAGTTATTTAACCTCAGTTTTACTATTTTCTTGTAATAAAATGTATTCATCACATTTGGAATTGAAATCCAGAAATGTGTGACTAGAATAATTTGTTCTAAGTGTTAATAATATTACTTTTGTCACTTGTTTGTTGACTTAAGGCTATGTAAAAATTTTGATAATTTTATATATTGTAGAATAAGCAACATTATTCTTGATGAAGAAGGAATATCGCTTAGTATTTGTGCACAATTTAGGCAAATTCATCCTTGCTTTAGTTACCTTTTGATTTACATGTCTCTCCTTTATTTTTACTTGCTAGCTTGAGCAGATGGAACTTGAAGTTCGAGAGATACCACCTCAAAGCCGAGGAATGTACAGCAGTCGAATGAGAAGCTACAAACAAGAAATGGGAAAACTTGAAGCTGATTTCGTGAGTTTTTAACATATTACATAAAGAAGGCATCTATGAGAATTTTAAAAATGTAATAGTGCAATTATTCAGGCAACTGAGAGGATGTTTTTGACTAGTGTAAGAGATGAGTTTTGCGTGTGTCTTCCTGTATTTGTGCATGGATGAAAACCAAACTGGGGAAGAGAAGCTTTCCTTTTTGTAGCAGTCTCATACCAAAATTCAAGTTGCTAGCCTTCTGTCCCTTTGCCCTCGATCTGAATTGTTTCTGTGCCATTAAGCGTTGTGAGTGTTAATGCTGGAAGCAAAATAATCAGCTTTTAATCCTGTTTATCAAGGAATGACTGGTGGATCATCAGAATTAATACTTAAATTATAATTCAAGTATACTCAGAGTGGAAAATGATGGTTTGTTTAAGACGGCTTGTAATGTGGGCAGTAACATGAAAAGCAATGTAATTTCCAATCCATGGGGTTTTTGAATGTAGTTTATCTCATGTGCACTTCATTTCTTAGTCTCTGTGCTTTCTTTTCTATTGCACTTAAATTCTTCTTGGCTTTTGTACAAATCGGTTATAAATACTACATTTTTCAAATAATGGATGCAAACTAACAAAATTCCCTTGTCTAGGGGCTTCTGCTACAGTTATCAGTCCTTTTTTGTGATTAGGATTTGCATTGAATAGATTTACATAGAGACAAAACTGTTTCCTCTAAAAGCCTGAAAAAGTTCAAAGGGATTCCAGAGCGTAAGAAAATTCTGTGTTAATTGTCGGCAGCTCAGTTCCTCCAGGGTGGGGAGAAATAAGTAACTAGTGGCAGTATTTTTCATTCACTGGAGAACAGTGAATTTTCTTGGGTTGCTGGCAGCAGTTTATTCCTTCAGGGGAGGGGAGTCAATGTTTATACTTTCAGCCAGGAAATCCAGCTGACTGTCACTTCTCTGTGCTTCTGCCAAGTTGATGAGTCGCACAGAAATGTATTCATTAGAAGATAGTTGCAATATTTTAAAGTTTGAGAAATGTTAGGATAAAAAAACTTGCATTAAAATTTTGAGACAATCTCATGCCATTCCCCTGTAGGAAGTGCATATGACCTACTGGCTAAACAGTGGCTTCCAAGAGAGGGAAATTTCTGGACCAGTAGTGAATGTTGTTAATCTTCTCAGATGTGGGAGAATTTTCTGTCAGCATATATTTGTTGCTGTCCTGATTCTCTGTGTAGGCAGACAGGGGAACTGGTAGTTCCATATTCCCAGGCGATAGGGAACAGGAGAGTTCAGAACTAGACACTGTTTATGGACAAAGAGAAGTAAGTGTGTGTTGAAGAAATGCATCAGAGCACTAGGAGTTACGTGATCGAAAGAATGCAAGCTTGTCCTCAGAGCTAAGGAGCAAAAATAACATGAGAAAGAGGAAGGAACCAACAGCCCAAACCCAAGGATGGCATTCAGCAGAAGATCAAGGAAAGAAAGTGGAGTGTAGGATGGAGTAAAGTACTGAAAGAAAAAAACATCTATGCTTGGAAAAATCTCAGTTACGTAGAAAATAGTGTTGTTACAGCTAAATTCCTTGCATAATTCCAGTTTCTAAGTACTAATATTTTTCAAAGTTTGCATGTGAGGGTTTGAGAATCTTTTGGGACTATTCTCCAGTCAAATAGCGACTTGTTGGAAACTATATAACAAAATAATTCAGTTGTGAGTTCAAAGGGAGGAGAGGAGGAAGGAAAGAAAATGTTATTTTGACTCCATACGCTACAGGACTGCTGAAGGTAGAAGTTGAAAATATTCTGACCTGTTTGACTGTAAGCAGAGCATATAGCGTATGTGTAAGAGCTTTAGCAGACCTTTAGGGAAAGCACCTTTAGGTACTTTTAAAATTAATTCACTTTTATGGATTAAGGGAAATTCTTAACTGGAAATGATACTGGAAATTTCAGGTTAGAATCAGGTTCCAGGTTTGCTGGTCAAAGTTCTTGGCTTTTCCAAAAGACATGCAGATGTGAGCGTGTGAAATCAAGTGTTCTTTATAAATGGAGTTGGAATCTCAGATGGATCCCGCTGTATTTGGCTTGGCAGTTTTCTTGTGTGAAGTAGCACTGAGCTGAGGACATTTCTCAATCATCTTGAAGTGTGTGTTTCGTTTTAAAGAAATCATGTCTGTGAAATGAACTGCAAAAATTATATACCTCAGTATACAGTCTTTTTCATTAAGTTCTGTATTTCAAACGGAGTGAGTGCAGAACTGGCAGTTGTAGTTTTCTTTTATATTCATCATAATGAAACATGAGGTTTGATCTTGTGGTTATTTGTATGCTTTATAGCATCTTGAAAATTTGCCCTCACCCAAGCAGTTATGGAAAACAGAAGCACAGCAATGTATTTAAAAGTTAGGAGAAGCAAACATGAGGTATGTGGACTGTCCACTCACTACTTGTAGGATGGATAATGTTAAGGTTTATTTGTGACGTAGTATCTAATTGGTGCATTTATTTGATCTTGGGCAGTATGTGTAATAATGACAAAGAAGTGACTTTAATATTATTTACTGCATGCTGTGGCATCTTAATGAATATATAGTGTTTTTTTTCCTATGCACTTTACTGTGTCAGAAGTATTCCGAAAAATACAGATTTAAGCTTGGTTGAGCTGTACTCTGAAAAGTTACTTCAAACATGGCTTGTTCATCTCTAATTTTGTAATCAAAGAGGAACAAATTGCAAATAAGAGATTTACTTCCCCTCATTGCTAATGCTTGTTATCTTGACTCATGCCTTGATATCAGCGCTCTGCAGTCCAGAGGTGTGTGTGAAAGCAGTGACGTCAACCCCACCCACTGCATTGCACCTGGGGAGCTGGTAACACGCTAATTGCGTTAAGTCGTATTTGAGGAGGAAAAGCCACCTTTCTCCATCTTGTCCCTTCATCTTGGAGTGGAACAGTGGTAATGAAAAAAGATAGCTCAATTTTTCATTAAGAGTACTCAGCACGGCACTGTGAATATGGATGGGGAAAACTAACAAAGCAAGCATTTGCACCTCAACTTAAGGTAGCAGTGGTTTCTGATGCTTGCCTCAGTGCTGTGCAGTCTTCCATGGGGAGTAGATGCCTGGGGAGAAGTATAAGACTAGGGCAAGCATAAAGTGATACTTCTTTGCAAAAAGGCTGTGTGCACCTCAAAAGGCTATGTTTCAGGCTTGCTTGCTGTGTGTGATAAATGTATCAAAACAGAATAAAACCTTTTGCTGTCTTTCTTAAGTTGAAGATGTAAATCTTGGTTTTATTATCATATTTTCCATAGTATATACCAGTACTGCATTTTTATATCAGGGTTTCATTCCTGTTAGGTCACAAAGCTGCAGTCACAAACCTGCGGTGGCTCTGGGGCTCCTGCTCCGACCAGGCTTGCTGGGTTGCAGACTGGGATAATGGCTCTATCTGGTGGCCCGAAGTGGAGTTGCAGACCGCGTACTTTTGCTTTCTGGGTTGATCAAGGTCTTGGGATCACTTGGTAAAGAGTTCCTGAAATTTAAAACAATCTTTCTACGAGCAGGTCTTCTTCCTGCGGCAACCAATGCACCATTATGTGGTTTGAGCATGTGAATATTTTGATCTTGACTATTTCAGATGTAGAATGTCTGTGGTGACTGCCTGCATGAAGTAAATTCTAAATGCAAAAAACCTTTATATTTTATTGTAGTCTTTTAAGTAGATGGACTATATTTTTTTCAAATAAACCATTTTTGGTTAATTGTTACCTGAAAATAACCAGTGATCTTTAAATAGTGGGGATATGCGGTGGTAAAAGGCTTTCCAGATTTTATAAACATACTTTGACCTCAGTCTGTCCCAGTTTATGTGAAGCTGTAACTGTATAAATATAGCAGAAGTGTGGTTATCTTATAGTATTTATATTCACCCCAAAGGTTCCATGTACTCAACATGGGGTACCATAAAAAAGAAAAAGAAGAAAAAAGGCATTTTCTTGAAAAGCTTACAGCTGAAGTGTGAGGCATTCAAATAGATGGGGAAATGTAAAAATCCAGTAAGACCATAATACACAGTAATATTCTTATTACAAAAACGAGTACTACACAGTCAGTGCTGAAAGTGGGATGGGCATATTCAACAAGAAAAATAAGCAGCAAATAAAGGCGGCAGCACAGGAACTGTTCCTATTCTGTTACGGCAGCACAGAGGCAAATTTTATGGGTAGCATTTGTTATCAATCCAAGAGACAGTAGTCATTCCTTTTAAAGACTCAGAATTGGTACTTTGGTTATTCTGACCTTCAACTTAAAAGCAAAAAAAAAATGAGGGGGAGAAGTCATAGATATATAGACAGATACATTGTACAAAACATGACTAAACTTTTAAACATTTTGGCATTTAACAATAGCTTCAGTTCAGTAAATAGTGAAAATACATGCTCACATTTCGTACCTCAAACAGGTTCTGTTTAAGATCATTGTTAAAATGGCAACTGCTGTCAAGCTTTAAAAACTTTTAAGCAGATAAGCAATGGAATTTCATTTGATAAAGTCAGCTCTTTTGTGTGATTCTGAAGTACCACCTGAGTCCAAATGCTCACCTGAACAATTTACAGCTGTGTCAGTTATATTCTGGCTGCTTTTTGCAGATACTGCTACCCTTATTTCAGGATCAGTCACCTACCCAGACAAATATTCATGTGACTACAAGCATAATGAACAACATTTGTCAAGTGACAGGTTACTGGCCTGTATCTTTATGGCCAGAGTCTTCCCTAGCTTTACAGTTTGAGCTAAAGGTTTGGAGGCTCAACTGTTGCTGCTGGATTATTTTGATTATTGTTTTGTAGTTACAAAATCATAAACTGTGTGGGACACGTGTCTGTCTTCATAGTTGTATCCCAACGATGTTATTAAAAACAGGGAACCCACCATACACATCGTGTATGCACTGCACCCTCCACGGGCAGGCATGCCTGCCTGTAGTGAAAACCTGATCCTGCTGACAAATTTGGAACTTCTGAAGTTGG